GGGGCGCTGATTGGGTCAACATCAGGAGAGACACCACCCCCTCAGGGGTTCCCATTTTTTGAACTCCAAGGGGAAAAAACACCTTTTTGCCCCACCACAGCCCCAGAAACCAAAGAGCCAAGCCCCCACCATGGGACAGTTCAACCCCATCCGTGTGCCAAAGGCTCCTTTGGGATGTCACAGCCTATCCTCTCCAGTCCGGAATAGCCCCTGGGGACCAAAGAACCAACTCCTCACACCCCACAGTGCAGCCCCACCCGTGTTCCATGGGCCCCTTTGTGATGTCACGGCCTATCCTCTCCATTCCGGAATAGCCCCTGGCAACCAAAGAGCCAACGCCTCACCACCCTGAAATGCAGCCCCACCCATGTGTCATGGACCCCTTGGTGATGTCACGGCCTATCCTCTCCCTTCCGGAATGGGCCTTGGCAACCAAAGAACCAACGTCCTACAACCCCAAAGTGAAGCCCCCCCTGTGTGCCATGGGGCCCATTGGGATGTCACGGACTATCGTCTCCATTCCGGAATAGCCCCTGGCGACCAAAGAACCAACACCCCACACCAGCACAGTGCAGACCAACCCATGTGCTTTGGGCCCTTTTGTGATGTCATGGCCTATCCTCTCCATTCCGGAATAGCCCCTGGCAACCAAAGAACCAACCCCCCACAGCAGCACAGTGCAGACCAACCCATGTGCTTTGGGCCAGTTTGTTATCCTACCCATTCCGACCTATCCTCTCCATTCCGGAATAGCAACCCACCCCAGTGGGAGAGGGCTTTTCCAGACACAACACAAGACTCAAGATGGGGGGAAGGTAATTCTATTACAGTTAGTACACAAAGAAATATTAGAATACATTCTAGACACAATCCTAACTCACTCTCCTGGGATCAACCAGGATTTACAATGGATCCAATCTCTTCTCCCTCCAAGAAAAGTCCAGAAGGGAAAAAGGAAAGATCCTTTCCACCCTCAGGGCAGCAGTCTCTCTTCTTCCATGCAGCAGTCTGAGCTGAAGTTGGAGCTGGATCTCTTTCCATTCCACACAAGGGGGGGTCTCCTCTCACCTCTCTCAGCCCTTTGGCTCCAAGCAAAGGTCTCTCTCCTGTGCACTGCCATTGCTGGGATAAAAGCTCACCTCACCACGTTGATGCCTTAAGCCCCTAGTGGTTTTCCTATTTTTCTACCTTATAAGTTTTATAGGTAATAGAAGTAAATTTTAGAAACCACCCTTTCTCCCTCTTCCCCGTAGCACCCCTTAGTTTATACGTTCCTTAACCCTCTTACCCCATTCCATACTCCCCATATCAGCCCTATCCCCATATCCAGTAGAAGATGTTTTGTCTCTTGTCAAGGCAAGGCCTGTTCTGTTTGGGGAACGCTTGTATCTTGGCCTAAACCGCAGGACAGAGTCAAAGAACTGGGTGACTCTGCTCTCTGTACCCTGAAGATGATGAAGGATGATGAAGAGAGGGTCCCAAAATGCAACCCAGACCCAATTCAGAGGGTGGGCCAGGGGGTGGACCAGGCCAAAAGTTACGGGGTGGACACACTTGGGATTGGACAGATATGGTTATAAATGTAACATCTCAGGCACAGCCTGCGCGTGTCGTACACCATCAATTGCCTTGGCACGATTAAACCCTTTCCTTATCTCACCCTAATTAATGGCTCCTGGATTTTTTCTTAGCACCAACTGAGCAGGCAACATGCTGTTCCCACAGCTTGGGCTGGCACATGTACAAGGACTTGCTTCCTTTCCCACAGCTTGCCATGGTGGGAGTTTTGCCCGGTGTGCTCACAATCTGCAGGTGGGAATCTTTGTCTGGATGGGTTCCCCAGACCTGCCTTACCAGCCCTGGCTTCCTGTTGGGACTGTCTGCTCTTTCCCACAGTCTGCACAGTGCAATTCTGTCCTGGGGGCTTCTTCCAAAGCTTCACCTCTGTTTAGGCCTTGGAATTAAATGCCTTCCTGTTTGCCACCAGTGCTTATGTCTTGTGGAATCTTATGGGATTTTCTTTCTTTGACAGTGTTTTGAGACAGTTCATTGTGCCCTTCAAGTCCTTACATGTGCACACACACACCACTCTCACCATTCTCTGGCCCTCCAAAGAACACAAGACCTGATGATTTGTAGCTCCCACTCCAGTGGTTGGCACTTGGAGCTCCCTCCATACGCAGAGCTCAGAGCTCCCTTGTCCCAGAAAGTTTAAAGATATTGTGCCTCATTCTGCCAAGACAACCCTTAGAAAAAAGTGTCACTGTGTTTCCTGGGATAAGAGCACTCTATTGTCATCTTCCAAAACCTTGGAGAGGTCTCAGAGATCTCCCAGGAAGGAATTTGGGGCCTCAAGCACATGACCCGTATATAGAGGCTGAGGACTCAGGGGTCAGTGGTGTGAAGATTGAGGACAGTAGAGGAGTAGCCTGAGAGGTCTGGAAGGGGGGTGTCAGAGCTGGTGGAGCTTTTCTTCCCGGCAGAAAACAGCCTAAGAAAGAACTAGTGCCACCAAGGGCAGCTGGGGTGACCTAGACTGGTGACAAGAAGTAAGAACTTTCCCTCTGAGGTCAGTATTGTGCTGCAGTATGTCACAAAAAAGTCTGGATGAGCCCAAGTCTTTGTGTGTCCAGGAAGAGCCAGGGAGGACGCAGAGATGTCAGTGCAGGAAGGTGCCAGCCAGGTGGGGCAGCCGGGGGGATGACGACAGCCTGCAGGGAAAGGGGCAGGGCATGGACACCGTAGGACAGCCTGGGCTGGAGAGGAGACAGGGAGGGGGAGAAGCTGAAAGGCCCTGCCAGAGCCACCTTCTGCAGGCCTTTGGCCATGGCTGCTGTCTGTGGCCCTGATGCCAGGAGGAGACAAGTGGCCCTTGCAGCCCTGGGGCCTCATGGCCTCCTTGTCCCTGCTCAGCAGCCTGGCAGGTGCCACCCCATGGTCCTGCCCTTGGCATTGCACATCCCACATCCCAGTGCCCCAGCAAGAGCCCTGAGGAATGAGGCAGGGACAGGATCTGCCTTTCCAGGGACTGGGGGTCAGGGCTTGGCCCGTTGGATTAAGGAAACAAGTCAATGTTTCTTCAGCATCAGAGCCACCTTTCCCTTGTCATCACTGTCTGCAGATTTCTGCTCTGACTCGAACCCGGGGACACGTTCTCAGTTGTGTCCCTCAGTGGGACCCATTAGCACTACAAGAAACTTTGGAGTTTCAATCTCACTTTGACTTCTTGAGAAGTTGTTTGAACTTCCTCTCAGGGACTGAGTCTCATGGAAACAACGTAAAACCCCCCTGAGGGTCATGAAATGCCTGGGGCTGTTGCTGTGCTGCTGAGCTGGGCCGGGCTCCTGGCACACAGGGAGCTCCTGGCAAGCAAGAAGAGCTTCAAAGAGACAGCTCTGCCCAGGAGCAGCTCCTCTGCACAGCCCAGCAGGGCTGAGGGCACTGCCTGCAGCACCCAGGGCACAAAAGCAAGGCAGAGAGAGGTTACACACAGCCTGGGCTGGGAGGGAAGTTGAGAGGAAGATCCACTGGAGGAGGAATCTTTCCAGGCTTCCTCCTGGTAAGTCAGCATGAAGGGCAATGTGTCTGCAGTTGGTGCAAAGATCTCCTAATGCTGGCACATCCCACTCCCTGCTGCACCATCCCAGGCACAGCCCAGCAGGGTTCCCTTCTGCCAGGGATGGTTGCAGAGTTGTGAAGCCGGGCTGTGCCACCCAGGCTGCCCCAAGCTGTCCTGCAGAGCAGGGTCCTGCAGCCCAGGGCTGTGCCGGGGCAGGAGCTCTGCCACTGCCAGGGGCAGCTCTCAGCCGGGCTAGGGAGCTCCCTCAGGGCTGGGCAGAGGCTGGGGGTGGAAAGAGCAAAACCTGGCAGGGGAAGGCAGGTTTCTTCTGCTATCAAGTGAGAGTTTCATGGGTCAGGGCTGCTCACAGAACCAGAGCACCCCAGGATATTTTCCAGGGGATCCTTCAAGGGGAAGGTCCATGGAGGGATTTCTCTCAAGCTCTCAAGCCACACGCCTGGTGGTTTGAGTTGCAGAGGGAACTCTGAGGAGCTGCCCAGGGCTGAGAACAACTTGCTGGCACTGTTGGTGTCTGGGAGGTGGCACAGCTGGCTCAGGGTGACGCTGCCCTGAGTGCCCAGTGGGCTCTGCCCTGGCCTCTCCCAGCTGGACCCTCCCTGTGCATTTCCTTGGTTCTCAGCTTGCCCCTGGTCCTGAGGTTGTTCCCTCCTTCTCTCAGTCAGGCTCACTGGGCAGGGGAGTTCAAGCTACACAGTCCAACACTGATCCTGGGATTCCCCTATGGCAGGTGTGTCCCTGGGAATGAGACATTCCACTTGTCCTCTGCCCTGTGGGGTGTGGGCAGTGAATTCTGTGGGCCTGGGTAAGGAGCTCTTTTTCCCTCAATCAGACCCCGTCATTAGGACACTTGGCTCTTTTCTGAGGTGTCCTTCCAAGCTGGGAGCTGCCCTTGAGAATGCAAATCATCCTCATAGCACAGCTGACAAGCCCTTTTGCACTGGGAGCAGTTTCATCTGACACAGCTGAACACCAGGACGGGCCCCTGTGCCCACCATGCCCATGACCCCACCGGTGCAGAGCAGGGCTGAGTCCTCACAGCCAGTGGGCAGAGGGTCTGCTCCTCCTGGAAGATGTAGTGAGCCCCAAGCAGGGCTCCAGCCATGGAGCTGAAGGAGAGACTCCCAGAAAAGGAAAACCAATGGAGCAGTGAGAGGGGTGTTGGAAAGCAGCTTTGATTTTTCTCAGAATGTTCTGCCCTAACTTGTCACTGTTATTTCTGGCATGAACAGGTCCCCATGTCCAGAGGCAGCAAATGACCAACAGCAGCTTCTTCACCCAGTTCCTCCTCCTGGCAGTCGCAGACAGGCGGGAGCTGCAGCTCCTGCACTTCTGGCTCTTCCTGGGCATCTCTCTGGCTGCCCTCCTGGCCAACGGCCTCATCCTCAGCGCCGTAGCCTGCCACCACCACCTGCACACCCCCATGGGCTTCTTCCTGCTCCACCTCTCCCTCACAGACCTGGGCTGCATCTGCACCACTGTCCCCAAAGCCATGCACAATTCCCTCTGGGACATTAGAACCATCTCCTACATGGGATGCGCTGCACAGATCTTTTTCTTTTTCTTCTTCATCACAGCAGAGTTTTCCCTCCTCACCATCATGTGCTACGACCGCTACGTTGCCATCTGCAAACCCCTGCACTACGGGACCCTCCTGGGCAGCAGAGCTTGTGCCCACATGGCAGCAGCTGCCTGGGCCACTGGCTTTCTCAATGCTCTGCTGCACACAGCCAATACATTTTCCCTGCCCCTGTGCCAGGGCAATGCCCTGGGCCAGTTCTTCTGTGAAATCCAACACATCCTCAAGCTCTCCTGCTCACACTCCAGCATCAGGGAAATTGGGCTTATTGGGGTTAGTTGCTGTTTAGCATTTGGTTGTTTTGTTTTCATTGTTTTCTCCTATGTGCAGATCTTTAGGGTTGTATTGAGAATCCCGTCTGAGCAGGGACGGCACAAAGCCTTTTCCACGTGCCTCCCTCACCTGGCTGTGGTCTCTCTGTTTATCAGCACTGGCTTGTTTACTTACCTGAAGCCCCCCTCCATCTCCTCCCCATCCCTGGATCTGGCCCTGTCAGTTCTGTACTTGGTGGTTCCTCCAACACTGAACCCCCTCATCTACAGCCTCAGGAACCAGGAGATCAAAGATGCCCTGAGGAAACTGATAACTGGGTGTTTTTCAGAAGCAATAAACTCTCCTTCTTCTGCATGTTATGAACATCGTTAAAGGCCAATCCTGTTATGGACTTCATTACAGGCCCACCATATCTTCTCTATTTTTTGCTCCTGGGATGGGCATTATTTTTGTCAGAATTTGTTCACACCAAAAAGTCTTTATATATATAAATAAACGTATATATTTATATATATATAAACAACATTTTCAATTCAGCGTTTGCCTTTCTAGCCTGGTCCAGAGGCTGTACAAATTGGGAATTTTACTCATTGTGTGCTTAAACCAAATAAAGAACTCTGCATTGACTTGTTTGCCTGACATCTTTCCTCTCTGACTTCTCTGCAGCTGCAGGGTCGGGGCCTCTGTGCAGAGCTGGGCCAGAAAAGAGTCCCAGCAGAGCAGCACTGCCAGGGAGCAGCAGCCCTTCTCCTGCGGGGCCTCCTCTTCCTTCCCTTCCACACTGTCCTGCAGAGCCCTGTGTTGTTGGAGGCCTCAGTGCTCTGGCAGTCGGTCCCAGTCCTGCTGCAGGACTGTCCAGGGACTGCAGGCAGGGACAGCCACGGGCACTGCTGGCACAGAGCTGACCTCTGCAGCAGCACTGCCATCCTGCAGGGCCATCTCCTCAGGCCAGGGCCTCAAAGCTTCCATCTGCTTTCCACTTTGCTCTCCAGGATGTGCCCAACACAACGCCCTGCAGAGGAAAACAGCAGTGACCAGCACAAGGGTGGGAGTGCTCAGGGTGGGGGCACCCAGCAGTGCCCTGGCACAGCCAGCGCCGCTCCCAACACTGGCCTCTCACCCCAGGCCATTGGGCTTGTTCTTCCCTCCAAGGAGGGACAGCAAATGACCAGCTCAGGAGTCCATGTTTGCACTGCATGGACAAGACATGCCCATGTGTCACGGCTTGGGGCTGGGGGGGTGGAAGGCTTAGACAAAGTTGATGGCAGAAGCCGTCTCGTTGAGCTACGAGGTGCAGAAAGGACCCCCTTGCTTTCTAAATTCCTCCTCACAGAGGAGCCTGGCTGTGGCTGGATCCAATCTCAGGCTCAGATTTTGGTTTCAACTGAAGGAATTATAGAGGTGGGATTCAATCACTTTGTCCTGCAGGTTTTAATGATGGCAAATCAGAAATATTTCTATAAAATGAATTATTTTTTATGACAAATGAACAGACAATTGATCAGACAAGTGAATAGTTGAAAGACTTTAAAGAGAATTATTTACTGCACAGTATAAAAGGAAAAAACTCCTAGCAGTATAGTGTAAGATAGGACAGTGCAGCCTGTTACAGTAGTTCTAATAATGCAATTGGATCAAAGCCAGCAAAAAGAAACAATCCTGAAGCAGAGATTGAGGTAACTCACCCCACAACCTCAGGGGGTAGTTCTCTCTCTTTCACTTAACCCCTGGGCAGTGACCATGAAGAGCTGTCCCTGCTTCATGCCAGAAGCTCCACACACTTCAAGGAAGTCTGTGGAAGAATCTGCCACATGACAGTTGGACGGGGCTTTTATAGTTATCAAGGATTTGACTGCCAGACATATTTGCAGGCCAGGGAGCAGCTTCTCTGTCAAATCTTGCTTCAGAAAGCAGGATGTGTGTTTGAAGTTTCATGAAGCATTTGGGTTTAGCATAATTCAACATTAAAAACAGCACCTTGATACCAGCAGTAACTCACCACAGAGAGCTTGAATTGTTTGCATTCTCTGACCATTGTTTAGGTATTATCAGAGCAGAGCATCCTGCCAGAAATGGCCCCTTGATTCCATGAGGTTCCAAAAACTCTCAGGGTTTCTTTGGTTCCATGAGGCCTCTCAGTGTCACCATGGCTCCTTGATTCCACAATATTCCAAAATATCCCAGGGCTCCCTTGGCTCCAAGAGGCTCCCCAGTGTCCCACCGGCCCCTGGATTCCAGCAGGCCCTGCAGTGTCCCAGTGGCCACTTGGTTCAATGAGCTCCTGTTCTGCTTTAGCTCAATTTCCCCATCCCATCCTGTGCTCAAATGCCGGGAGAACTGCAGAGAACCAAGCTGAGAACACGCCGGGCCCTGGTCCTCTTTGGTGCCCGGGGCTGCCCCGACAGGGAGTCCCCGGCCGCTGCCCCCGGAGCCGCCGCGCCGTCCCCTGAGCGCCGCTGAGGCGGCAGCGCTGGAGCGGGGCCGTGTCTGCCCGGAGCCGCCGCTGCCACGAGGCTGCCGCCGCTGCCGCTTTTGGCCTGCGCTGCCCCGCAGCCGCCCGGCACCGGCTTCCCGACACTGCCGGCGCCTGGAAGCGGAGCCGGCGCTCCTGCAGCGCCTCGGAGTCGCTGCTCCGCCGCCACAGCGGCTGCCGCCGGCGTCTGTGCCCGGAGCCGCCGCTGCCACGGGGCTGCCGCACTCACCGCCGGGGTTGCCGCTCGCGCAGCCGCCGCTCTGCCCCGGCTGCACCGGGACCCGGCACCGCCTCGGGCCTGCGCTGCCGCCTCAGCGGCCACAGGGCACAGAGGGATGGGGGGACCTTTGCTCTGCACCTGCTGGGGCCTTGCTTTGTTCTGCTTGCTTCTTGGCTTTAGGAAAATTGCTGTTCATTTTCATGCTCCACTGGAACACCTCATGAATTCCAAATGTTTCCTAATCCAGGGAGAGGGGTTTCTGTGGCATTGGAGGTCCCGCCTCTCAGGACACATTGTCAATAAACCATCCAGCTGACTTGGATGGGTTGGCTTGTGATCAGTCAATGCTTTTTAATGCTCTATTCTGGTTGAATGTTGCCTTATAACCTTCTGCCAAGCTCCCTTATTTTCTAAAGGTTGCCAGTAAAAGTCTGTTTTCTGACCACCTGAGAAAACACATGTAGTGTCTTCTCCCTTGAGATCTCTCTCAAGGTATTAAAAGAACTGAAGGCCCTTTTCAAATATCTGGAGGGCAGAAATTTTTGGTGCCTTTTCTATTTTTCAAAGTAAAACCCCTTTACTGAGCTCGTAGTTCAACCCTGGGGTCATATAGTCACCATCCCTGGAAGTGTTCAAAAACGCTGAGCTGTGGCACTTGGGGACATGGTTTAGTGGTGATGATGCCAGTGTTGGGTTAATGGTTGCACTCCATGATCTCAGAGGTCTTTTCCAACCTTAACAGTTCTATGATTCTGTGGTGACTCAACCACTTCCCTGGACATTCTGTTCCAATGCTTGATAACCCTTAGCCATCCCTTTGATGCTGCAGCCAAGGAACAGACCAGTGATTTTCACAGTGCTCCTGGATCACAGGATGTCCAAAGCCAAGGACATTTCCATCAGCACCTGGTCCTTCCTGCAGATCAGAGTCACCTGAAGCCTCCAGGCCCTCCACGGTGGCAGAGACCTCCCAGGCAGCAAAGCCCTGTCCTGCCAGGCTGCCCAGACCAGCCCTGTGTCTCTCTGGCCCTGGGGACAGCAGGCTTTGCTCTCCTTGGGGCACCTCAGTCCCTCTGCCATTGCCATCTGCCCCCACCCCAGCAGGCTCTGGAGCAAAGCACAGCTGAGGTCCAGCCCAGCTCTGCTCTGACAGAAAGAACCTGCAGTCAGGGACAGGAAGAGGACAAAGTCTTGTTTAAACAGCCTGAGAAATTAATTGGTTCAGTGACCTCCTGTATTCCTGGTCACTTGAATGACCCTGTGTGGCAGATTTGATAGCAGTGAGGGGGCTGCAGGTTTCCTTTAGGGAAGAGGAGATCAAGAGTTGACTCTGTGTCAGAGAGAGCCAGTTTCAGGTGGCTCCAAAATGGACCAGCCAGTGCCCAAAGCTGAGCCAAAAAGCAATTCCAGAGGCACCTGTGTGATAACCCTTTGGAGAAAGGATAAAATCCAGGGTGCTGTAACCCAGGGAGGAGT